TGACCCACTGGAATTGTGATACAGTGAATTATAAGTTAAATAATCTATCTATAAACAATTGTTGGAAAAATTACTTGTGTCATGCACAAAGTAGATGTCCTAACCGACTTGCCAAAACTATATTTTGTTAACAAGAAATTTGTGGAGTGGTTGAAAAATGAGTTTTAATTAAACTTCCGACTTCAACTGTATGTATGTATGTGTGTATATATATATATATATATATATATATATATATATATATATATATACAGTGGGGAGAACAAGTATTTGATACAATGCCGATTTTGCAGGTTTTCCTACTTACAAAGCATGTAGAGGTCTGTAATTTTTATCATAGGTACACTTCAACCGTGAGAGACTGAATCTAAAACAAAAATCCAGAAAATCACATTGTATGATTTTTAAGTAATTAATTTGCATTTTATTGCATGACATAAGTATTTGATCACCTACCAACCAGTAAGAATTCTGGCTCTCACAGACCTGTTAGTTTTTCTTTAAGAAGCCCTCCTGTTCTCCACTCATTACCTGTATTAACTGCACCTGTTTGAACTCGTTACCTGTATAAAAGACACCTGTCCACACACTCAATCAAACACACTCCAACCTCTCCACAATGGACAAGACCAGAGAGCTGTGTAAGGACATCAGGGATAAAATTGTAGACCTGCACAAGGCTGGGATGGGCTACAGGACAATAGGCAAGCAACTTGGTGAGAAGGCAACAACTGTTGGCGCAATTAGTAGAAAATGGAAGAAGTTCAAGATGACGGTCAATCACCCTCGGTCTGGGGCTCCATGCAAGATCTCACCTCGTGGGGCATCAATGATCATGAGGAAGGTGAGTTCAGTCTCCAGACCTGAACCCAGTAGAAAATCTTTGGCGGGAGCTGAAAGTCTGTATTGCCCAGCGACAGCCCCGAAACCTGAAGGATCTGGAGAAGGTCTGTATGGAGGAGTGGGCCAAAATCCCTGCTGCAGTGTGTGCAAACCTGGTCAAGACCTACAGGAAACGTATGATCTCTGTAATTGCAAACAAAGGTTTCTGTACCAAATGTTAAGTTCTGCTTTTCTGAAGTATCAAATACTTATGTCATGCAATAAAATGCAAATTAATTACTTAAAAATCATACAATGTGATTTTCTGGATTTTTGTTTTAGATTCCGTCTCTCACAGTTGAAGTGTACCTATGATAAAAATTACAGACCTCTACATGCTTTGTAAGTAGGAAAACCTGCAAAATCGGCAGTGTATCAAATACTTGTTCTCCCCACTGTATATATATATATATATATATATATATATATATATATATATGCGAGAAAAAAACCCATGGGGGATTGGAAGTGATGCAGACAATTACATTGATGGAAGTTACAATCTATCTGCAATATTAAAGCTGATCTACCCACAAAAAAAATAAACTCTCTCTCTCTCCTTCTCTGTGTCACTAGGTATAAGAGGACCCATGATACTATTTCTCATGCAGGACAGATCAGCACTGCTGCCATGTCCACAATGGGTGTGGCCATCACAAGGAGACTGGGAGAAATGAGGTACCTTCAGCCTCCCCTTCACTCTTTTATTATCCTCCCATACATCCTCCTATTCTTTCCATCTTCCTTTACCACCTCTAAAACTCATCTGTCCACCAGTGTGGCCACCCTTCATATTCGTCATCTATTTTCTTCATCCATTAAATTATCCATCCATCTTTATAATCCAGCTATATACTGTATATTCAGCTATTTTCATGCAGTTCCCCTTCACAGGACACATTTGTTGAGGACAAAGGTTTCTTCTTGCGGACTTGTTTATGAATGCCAGGGAGAAAACAACAGCCTTAATCCAATCAGATCAGTCTGTTTTAGTTGGCAACAATATCTGTTTATCTACTGTACTGTTCCTACAAAGCCTTTAAATGGAGCCTGTGTAAAGGGTAGCTGCTGATGTTAGTGGTTAAGAGCGTTGTGCCAGTAACCGAAAGGTCACTGGTTCTAATCCCTGAGCTGACTAGGTGAATGATATGCCCTTGAGCAAGGCACTTAACTCTAATTGCTCATGTAAGTCGCTCTGGATAAGAGCGTCTGCTAAATGACGTAAATGTGATGCATGCTTGCTTTCCATTAATGAAAAGCACACACAGACAGACACACACTCATACATCGCACTGCCAATTTACACCTCCATGTATTCTCTTGATTACTATATCTGACCATCTCTCTTTCCCCATCTCTTTCCTGTAACGCTGCCCACTGACTGGATAGAGCACTGCCTTTGCCTAGCCCACCTCGGTAAGGATAGTAGGAGTGCCCTGGCCTCCAGCCTATTGCACCAGATTGTCTCCCCTCTGAAGCTTTGTGATGATGAATAATCTTGATTTCGATGTGAAATATTCTCACAGACTGTTGCATTAGCTTTAGCCTCGGGGGTCCAGGCTCCTCGGCCCTGCAAGACTATATTACTTTAGACCTGAGTGAACTAACTAACTAATTAACTAAAACTAACTACTGAGTGAAGTGTTGCATTCGTTTAGACCTGAGTGAACTGCCCAAGTTGATATGTGCACGTTAATGTTGCTGACCTTTCGCCCTTCACCTAATTAAGCTGCTACTGATATTGTCTATTGTTCTTGCTCACATGCTGTACTGCTGTAGGCCTGGCCTACTACATGCTGTACTGCTGTAGGCCTGGCCTACTACATGCTGTACTGCTGTAGGCCTGGCCTACTACATGCTGTACTGCTGTAGGCCTGGTCAACTACATGCTGTACTGCTGTAGACCTGGCCTACTACATGCTGTACTGCTGTAGGCCTGGCCTACTACATGTTGTACTGCTCTTACTCATCTCTCTTTGTGTCTCTTTCTGCTCTCTGAAACACCAGCCCCTCCTTGGGCCACTCCATCAGTGTGCCTGCTATGAGTATGAGGTAAGACACTGGGCACGCCTGTTCCAAGCTCTGACATCCCTGAAATTCTGCCCTACTACTACTTCCTGCAGTACCTCCATAGGTGGTGAATGACATTTGAATGATATTAACCTCGTCCCCAGGCTAATTGCGAACAGCGCTTGGGGAGGAAGACTCTGGTGAACGAGATTAGAATGACATTAATGCTGCAAGTAAAAAAAGTTAAATTTAGTTCGATTTATCTTTGAGTGAATCGTTTAACCTGAAATGATACTGTACCTCAAAGTGATTTCAATTGTTTAAGGGATAATGTATCTTTCTGCCTTAGACATTCCAATACATTCAAGTCCTTTGAAGACATGGTGGGAAGCGTGAAGGTTAGTGTCTGTGCTTTCGCAAAATCACAAACACAAAGAACAGAAAATACTGTATTGTCTCGTCTTTAAAATTAAAACAAATTCCTCATCTCTCTACTGTCTCCTGTCTCTCACACAGAACAAGGTGTCTGGGAGTCGAGGGAATGACGGAGATGTCTCTGGGTTTGGTAGAAGCCCCTCTCAGAACAGTGGTTCCTTCTAACATAATCCACCTAATTTTCCCTGCACCATCTGTAATCTTACTACAGTATACTCCCTTAATCACTTTAACCTGATGTCATTGTCCATACTACCCCATCAGACAGTAAACATTGTGTAGGATGTTGATAAATGAATAAATGACCAAATACAATTTCTATGGACTCCGTGTGGGCTGTGCAGAGATATTTAACTTTTTTGTTGTTGTTGGAGTGGGGTGGGAGAGATTTAAAATGGCATACTGTGAATTGAATGTCATCAAGCAACAAATATTTTTCTAAAATTGTATAGAATGTAGCTTCAGGTGTGAGATAAGGAGCAATGAGTTTCATATAGCTTTGACAGTGTTGGTTCCAACCATTCATTCAAAATGTTAAGTGTTATTTCCAATATCCAGCTATTTATATTGTCCTATTGTTTGAAGGAAAATATCACTGTTAGCCTATATCCTGCTACTTCATTCTAAGAACATAACAATCACAAATGTACAGTAAAGTATTTTTGTACTTTGAGAATTCTTAATTAAAACGTATTATGTGGTTTGGTCTCATGTGTAATGATTTATTGATACTATACCTTACGGTTAGCATAACGAGATACATAAAAGTGATTATTGTTGTTGTTACAGTTGACAGCCATAACGTTGATACGGTGATGGTGGTATATAATAGATCCCGGTAGAACAGTGATGTTGTAAAAGTGTATTCCCTGACCGGGAATCGAACCCGGGCCGCGGCGGTGAGAGCGCCGAATCCTAACCACTAGACCACCAGGGAAGGCCGAATGGTGGAAGTACTGTTGAGTTTTTAACCTTGAATACCCGATTATTCTTTCTCTTTTTCTTTATTTTATTTAATTTACCTATATTTAATTAGGCAAGTCAGTTAAGAACAAATTCTTATTTACAATGACGGCCTACCAAAAGGCAATATGGTAGTAGCACAAAACATGGTACAAACATTTTTGCCCACAGACAACAGCACAACAATACATCATGCGAAGCAGGCACAACTGTCAGTAGGTGTCCATGATTGAGTCTTTGAATGAAGAGATGGAGATAAAACTGTCCAGTTTTAGTGTTTTTTGCAGCTCGTTCCAGTCGCTAGCTGCAGCGAACTGAAAAGAGGAGCAACCCAGGGATGTGAAGATATTATACAATTTATACGAACAACTGTTACAATCAACTTACAAACATTGAAAATAAAAATTCAGATCATGACATATGTTCTGCTTTCACAGCCTATGAGTTACGATTAATTCCTAAATGCGAAATTCCACGCCATAGCTAGAAAACCAAATTAAAGCAGTGAATCACAACTTTCACTGGGTTAAAGTTCCCTGACTTATGCTCAGTTCCTCGTGTTGTTTATTGTTTCCACAGAGTTGACGTGGCAAGGGCATTGCAACCAATGATTGTGATATCATTGATTGCAACGCATGTTTTGTGCTTGCCTTGCCTGGTGGAAATACTGTATTAAAGGACCCTATCCACGCCCATCAGCAGCTCGTCCAGTAGGCGTCACATCCTGCATTGTATAAAGCTACCTGCCTGTCCCTCTTCAGTAGCCTGCCTATTCCTACACTGACTACACCATAAAGACATTGAAGGGTCCTTTCCGAGAACATACCCACAAATGGGCAATAAGAGTCATTTAGCTTAATTCACCGAGCCTTGCCAACCGACCCTCATCCTCAATCCTTTGTTGTTTTTCAACATCATCAAACGCCAAATACAAAGGTAAGATTGATTTGATTGCTTTTAGATTAAGGCAAACAATATTGTATAACCTATACTATATTGTCTAATAATGGACATTGTGTTTCCAATCCTATATGTTGACCTATTAAAGAAAGAGCTATGGTACTAAATTACATCTTATTTATTGTCCTGGCACAAATCATTACAAATGCACATTTCACATTGTCTTTAACAATGTAATAGGCTTAAGATACCGAAATCAGACTGTGGGGTTTTCTCTTTTCCACCAGCTTTGTATCATATCTGATTCTAATCATCATCTCACCAGAGGCAGATCAGGGATAATTCTCTGATCTGTAATCAGTTGAATAATTGTTGTTAGGTGGCCCACTGTATATGGATTTTGACTGCTGATATTTTAGTCTTTGCATCTACATTTTATCTGGATGGTCTATTGTTTATCATGCACCTGCCAGTGCTGCTGTCATTTATTTTGCTGCAGGTGAGGTTATATTGTATTGGTCTCCTGCTGGCATGGTCTTTGCTACCCAGGATCCTTGGGACCTCCCTACTCTAAACCCTAACCCTTACCCTAACCTTAACCTTAAACTTAACCATAACCATAACCTAACCCTAACCTTAACCCTTACCTTAACCATTTTAAATTTCAACTTCAATAGGGTAGGGACATCCCAAGAAACCCGGATAGCATGGACCCTGTTGGCATGAATCAAATCAAATCAAATTTTATTGGTCTGTACATATACTTTGCAGATGTAATCACAGGTGCAGCGAAACGCTTATGTTTCTATCTCCACCAGTGCAGTAATACCTAACAATATACACAAATATAAAATATATCAGAATGACCAATGTCAGAGTCCGTAATATATATGTATACAGTATGGACAGTATATGAATATAAAAGGTGTGTACAGCAGTAGTTATATAGGATGAGCCTTGACTAGAATACAGTAAAACAGTATGAATATAATGTGCAATGCGGATGCACATTCACACACATCTATTGTGCCCCACAGCAGTAAACATTTATTTTAACTTTATTTTTCCACTGTGCGAAGGGAATTGGTTTATCCTTGAGATGTTTTTTTTGCAACTGCCTATGTAGCACAGATGAGAATTAGGCTGGCAATCCCCAGCCATCTGGACTAGAGCTTCTGTCCTGTCTGGACCGGTTTGGACAGGATAGAACTGACTTAGCATCGAACATGTAATCATGAGGTTGTTTCTCAGTAAACAATTCACTTTTGCTTATAGCAATGTAGTTTAGTTGGGGAGTAAAACCACGTTTTTGGCATGTTTCATTCCACTGCAGTGTTTGAGATGTCAGTGTGAGTGTTTACCACAGTTGAACTGTTGGTAACCTTTCTCTTAGAAAGAGGTTTTTGAGTCCTGTATAGTCCTGCTTACCGGTATATTCTGTTTTTCGAGTGGCTTAGTCAGTACCTTACAGGTCCTGTAGCGGCTAGCCCCAGTGTTGAGGCCTGCCACGTACCTAGCCGGTGCACAGCACTCTGTTTCCTGGCTAGGTGCCCAGAAGTTGGGACATTATACCTGCAAACCCCAGCCCCAGACTATCCAGTTATTTTCAGAACATGGTGTTGAAATCAGACTCTCAGCACAAGTGTTGACCTCTATTACCTCTCTAAGCCAACAGTGAAACCTGCCTATAATAGGCTAATGATAGGCTTCTGTGAATGGATGATGCTAGTAATCATGAAATAGGTAATACGCTTTGCACAAAGGCTTTTGCACAGCTATTTGTCTATGTTCAGGATGTTGTGTTACGGCACATTCATTGAGATCTAGCATGCAGCATTCATAGACAATATTATTTGGCTCATCCCAGTATCACTTGCCTCTGCTTGCAAGGTTCATGTCTCCACACTCTAATAACCCATTCTTTTCTCTCTCCTTTCCTCTATCTCCCTAAGGTTTCCCATCTTCCATCTTTGAGCGGTTTTGAAGGAAAGGTCGAAGAAAATGGCAGCAATTCCATCCACCGGCTCTCTCATTGCCACCCATGATTACTACAGAAGGCGCATAGGATCCACCTCTAGCAACAGCTCTTGTGGCAGTTCTGAGTACGCTGGCGAAGTCATTCCACACCCCCCAGGTACAGATGATCAGATAACTGCCACGGTGCCTCTGAAATGGCATCCTATTCTCTATATAGTGCACTACTTTTGACCAGGGCCTGTGGGGCTCTGGTCAAATGTAGTGCACTATGTAAGGAAACAGTTGCCATTTCAGACAACTCTCACTCTGACAAATGCCTTTAATTAGGAACATATCCTCTATCTCTCCGTGTGACTTGATCTGACCAGGTTCCTCATCTTCCTTTTGTATTATTCTTCTCAGGTCTGCAGAGACAGGACTCTGGTCACTGGTGGTCTTCTTTCTTCTTCCCAAACAAACAGAACCAGCCTGGCAGCATGGTTGGATCTGAACAGAAGTGAGTTCACTAACCTAGGAGTCACATAAATTGATCAAATCCATGCATGGTTTAAATGTTGTGCTTGATTTCTCCTTTCTTTGTAAAATGTATAATTTTGAGTAACCAGTTGTTAGGCCTAATTGTAGCTGTGTATTTCCCTCTTGTTGCAGGAGTGGAACATACACGGTGAACAACTGTCAGGTGACTTGTATTGCCAGGGAGATGGTGTTGAAGAGGCAGCTCAGTGAAAGCAGCGACTCTGGGAAGATGGAAAATGGGAGCCCACCACCCTCCTAATTCCATCTTCTCTTCTCCCCAAACCCTTATCCTCAACACCCAACATCCCACTCCTCACCACCCCATGGAGATGGAGGCAGTGGAGACTACTTTTTTTTAACCTTTTAGTGATGGAGGCTGCTTTTCCTCCCGCTTTGTTTATAAATAATATATGATATCTTTTTATAATAAAGACTAAAAAAGCACACAAAAAAAAAAAAAAATCCCCAGTCTCTGTCTGATATCATGCTTTTTGCTGTTAAATAAATCAAAGTTCTTGCAATTAATACTTTTTTCTTGAATTGTATTCCCTATTCAATGGACTAAATAAGTCCCTAAATATTTTATTTGATATATTTTTAGTTAATATTTGGAATCTATCAACAAGATTAGGGCAGAAATTTCTCTCTAGTTATTTCACCTGATTAACCTAATTAGTGAGAAAGTATAGTTTATAATAGCTTACTTTCTATAACAAGAGTGAATATCCCTATAACTCATAGTCACTATATTGAACATGTGAAGTGTCCATGGCTCTGATGATAGGGGATAGACAGACTTTAGAAGGGGCAGTTCTGGCGTTCACAATATGTAACCCGATAATAATAACGATCCTGAGAACTCCATTGTCAGGTTTGTTCATGTCAAAACTGATGAGTGTAGTATATGTTTTACAACATGCTGCCAGCCAGTGTTGATGTACTTGCTAAATGGAATTAAGCCGGTTAGGCTGCTATATGATTAGCAACAGCTAATTGATAAAGACGATGGCTTATATAATACAGTATTCCTGTTCTGTTCTGAAATCTAGGTCAACCACCTGTGGAACATTCTGGTGGATAAAAGTGAATGTCGACTATATTTTTTATACAGTCTTTCTATGATCTCAACATATTGGTTTGGTGGAGTCAACACCTAGTTATATCAACAAGGATACAATAAAGTACACTTTCAGGATTGTTCATTAAAGCATGGAGCTAATGGGAAGAGTTCACTAGTTTTACACTGACTGAAGACATCGACAATGTTTACTCCAGTTACTGTAGCTAACCATTTAACTTAACCTATATTTATACAGGTTATTCTCATTGAGATCAAATCTATTTAGCAAGAGAGACCTGTAGACATGGCTCTTACATACAGGCTACATAGATACATGTTACGTGTTGTGACATAGCCTACATGTTAAGATGCACAGTGTGATATGTATAGCACCAAATAGTTATTGTGGTCACTTAAGCATTTAATTTATGCATGGAAGATTTTCTGTGCGCATGCATAATACACTTTCACGTTCTTGCCATGCTGACAGATTTATAACTGGAGGGGAATCAACAATCTGTCAACATCGGAGTTGATAGAGCAGGTGCATGTGTCGTGAACTGGATTAACCAAACACCAAATCTATGTAAAAGGATACACAATCTCCCAAAAACAGTAGTTGTTTTGTTCTGCAAACTGACCATGAAACTAAACAGAAAAAAATAAGGATTGAGGATCCACTGCACTACTGGGAGAGCTTTAAGAACTGAATCTTGAACTTATCTTACTCAGCCACTGGAACACAGAAAATAACAGGACAGAAAAACGGTCTGTCATGATAGGAGCAATCCTTATTAAGAGTTTAAAACTGGTTCAAACAAAACAATAACCTGGAACAAAACTAAACATGTGACTGACAAAGCTTGTTCAGAGCACTTGACCTGTGTCAATGTGACATTTAAAGACTAAGCACCTAAATACCATTGCCTCAACAAATGCCATAACCTTCAACAAATACACTCAACACCCCCTCCTCCCCCCTGCTCTCCCTGTTGCTATTCCTGAGCTAGCATTTCTAATTATGTTTCAGTCTCTAAATCTGGAACACCTACAGACATGGGAATCTCCCATCCATGGTCCGAGCATGCGCTGTGACTGGCGCTCCTTATTTTACCTCAGAGGACAGAGGATAATGTAGGTTACCATGCTCAAAGTTCAGGGAGCACAGTGGGAGAGAAAGAGATGTGGGGGGGGGGGAGTCGAGAGATAGAGAGACACAAATATCACATTCACTACCGTATGAAAGGGCGAGAGGTAAAGACAAACAGACAGAGAAGCAGACGTTATGTAAAGTGGGTAAGAGGTGAGTAGGTTCAGGTGTCATTTTTATATGTGGTCTCAGGTTGGGCCTTGTGTGGCAGCAGGCCCAGTTGTCCCTGATGGACAGTGCCTCATCATGGGCTCAGTGATATAAGGGAAATGTGGGGCAAACATATAGCAGCTGTCTGGCCGAGTCAGAGCTCTGACCCACTAAATCTATTGAATGCAGCTAGAATGCAGCCTCTGAACTTTCACAGTAGAGATAGTTGGGAGGTAGAGGTGGGAGTTTGGGGAATGGAAGGGATGTGGGTTGACGGGGGTTCTCCACATCACACAGAATATTACAGTAACATGGAGTCTATTAGGAGTGGGACACAGTGTTAATATTACTCTGGTTGGGTGTCTTTTTATTTTTATTAATTATTAGTGTACTTGTTTGACATTTTACTACACCCGCTATAACATCTGCTAAACTGTGTATGTAACAGATAAATGTTGATTTGATTTGTTAGGGTTAGGTTTAGGGTTGAGGGTTAGAGTTGAACTGGGATGTGGACACTAAGGGTTAGAGTTAGGGTTAGGGTTGAGGCGAGGGTTAGGGTTGAACTGGGATGTGGACACGAAGCTAGGGTAAGGGTTAGGGTTAGGTTTAAGGCTAAAGCCAAGGCCAATGTCAGGATGTTCTCCCCTTTAAACCGTTAAACAGAATAAACCAGTAACCTATAAGTATTATGAGTGGGAAAGGACACAGTGTTTGTATCACTGTCTCAGTTGGTTTGTGGCCAGGGCCACCAAGTTCAGTTTCCTGTAAGCCAGGGTTAATGTGCTGGACGCAGGGAGAACGTGTACACACTTGGATCATGTTATTGAGTGTTTGCAGACTGTGCACGTGTCCCAATGTGAACTTCCAACATAAACACAGAGTTCCCTGAAGTGTTCCTCTCTCATGATTGATAAGCTCAGTAACGTTTTCACGCAACAACAACAGAGTTCTCTTGGCAGTAAACTACCACTCAGGTGACCTCCACACGTTTCTGGTAAACTCAGAAGCATAAAGATATAAGCAATAAACTCTGGAGAATAAGTGTTGTAATATAAATGATAAGTTAGTGTTATAACGCTATAAGAATATGTTTATAAGAATAAGCGAGTTACTGTTATGATACAGTTATAATGCAACCCCAATGAGCATCAGAGCTCTGATAAATTGCCGCATGTGAAACATGACAGAGGGAAATACAGCCCATGCTTCCAATTTGTAAGTCGCTCTGGATAAGAGCGTCTGCTAAATGACGTAAATGTAAATGTAAATGGTACCTTCTCAGCAGGTCAAGACAGGACCAAGCTCTCCCTCTAACTGGATGCTTGGTCCATTTTTGTGCCCTGATTGTGAAATAGCTTTTGCCTTTTGATCCCAGCCAGACATGTAACTGTAGGCAGCCAGAAACATGTAACCTATTCGTTCAAACCCTCTACACTGTCGCCTTTAAATGTAAATCATTATTTAATTAGGCCATTGTTCAGGACCACATTTGAACTGAAGAGTCCTGTGAGATGAAGACATTTTCTAATTTAAATGAAGGATTGCATTTGAGGGAAATAGTATTGACATTATTTCTTCACATGATGCAGAATACTCTCAGTTCTTTGTAATGGCTACACCTGATAATAACGTTACACACACTCACTTAGTCAATTGCAAAGAGATTGTCCACTTGGACTGAGGTAATTCACTCAAACACACATGCTATTAGCAGATACTGTATGTAAGGGCACACTTAAAGCATCTGTGAAGCTCATAACAAATCCCACAAATCTGCAGTCAGTGCTGTTACTGTCAACTGGCCGTGGTTCTATGCTGCGCCCTTGTGGCTGTTATTGGTTTATTGCTGAAGTTTAAATGGACTGGACTTTCAGTCTCCCTGCTGCTGCTTTCTGTCTCCTTGCTGATCGCTTGTGAGCTTAGGCTGTCACTACGGTCCTTTGCATAGTGGTACACGGTCAGAAGAAAACCTTCCCCAAAGCAGAGAGACATTTACTCTGTTCCCTCATCCTCAGGTGTTGTTTGATGGTTTGCATCTTATGACCTCATCTTGCATCTTATGACCTCATCTTATGACCTCATCAGTTTGCATCTTATGACCTCATCAGTCTTCCAGAGCCTGATAGACTGGAAATGCTGCATAATTATCTCTACACAACAGATTAAGTATACACATTTTAAACGTATTTGAAGCCTTGGAAGGAGACAGGGAATAGTTATGTACTTCAACTCATTTCTTAAAAAAGTGATTGGCAAGGCAAAGGTAAATGTGACAGAGTATGGACAAATCTTTATAACTGTGTTGGAGACAGTGGCTATAGGCACATTCAGGAGGTGCAGCAGCTCAGATAGTGACATTGAAAATTATTATGTACAGCTGCATCCGTATCCTGTTCATTCTGTGGTTATTATTGTCACACCCTGATCTGTTTCACCTGTCTTTGTGCTTGTCTCCATCCCCCTCCAGGTGTCGCCCAGCTTCCCCATTATCCCCAGTGTATTTATAACTGTGTTCTCTGTTTGTCTGTTGCCAGTTCATTTTGTTTCGTTAAGCCTTCCAGCGGTTTTCCCCTTGCGCTTGTCTTTTTCAAGTTCCTGTTTTCTAGTTTTCCTGGTTTTGACAATTCTGCCTGCCCTGACCCTTAGCCTGCCTGACATTCTGTACCTTGTCACACCACCCTGGATTATTGACCTCTGCCTGCCCTGACCCTGAGCCTGCCGGCCGTTCTGTACCTTTTGGACCCTTGACCTGTCGTTTGCCTGCCCCCTGTTTTTGTAATAAACTTTTGTAACTTCGACACTGTCTGCATCTGGGTCTTCTCCTGAAACGTGATAATTATATACAGTATCTACAGTGAGGGAAAAAAGTATTTGATCCCCTGCTGATTTTGTACGTTTGCCCACTGACAAAGACATGATCAGATGTTCATTGGCAAACTTCAGACGGGCCTGTATATGTGCTTTCTTGAGCAGGGGGACCTTGCGGACGCTGCAGGTTTTCAGTCCTTCATGGCGTAGTGTGTTACCAATTGTTTTCTTGGTAACTATGGTCCCAGCTGCCTTGAGATCATTGACAAGATCCTCCCGTGTAGTTCTGGG